GTAAAATGACTCTTCTGACCCACATTTAGAAACGAATAACTCAAAAGAAGATTCAAGGTAAGATCGATTTTTTTGTGACGAGTTTGGAGGGCATAAGCAAATGGTCTTCGCATTTTTACAGTGGAAAATTACCTCAGTGAGCAGCTGGTACATACGTTCCTCAACATCTACACCGACGCTGCTCGTTGACTCGTCCAGGATTACCAGTTCTGGTCGTTGGTAAATTACTCGAGCGAACGCAAGCCGCTGTTGCTCGCCTGGTGTTAGTGTGTCCTGCCTGCAAAAAAGCTTTTCAACTGCAATTTTTTTAATTTAATTAGTTTCCTTAAATGATTTGGCCGGAAGTTTTAAACAAAATGCACTGACCATTCGAATTCCACCGGACTGTACAGGCCTCCACAGCGTTCAATTATCCAGGAAAGTTGCAGATTATTCAGGATACCGCTAATCAATGCATCATCTAAAAAGTTCAGATTAGATTTCGAGTTAAGTTTTTTCTTGAAAAATATTTACATTTTTTAACTTCAACATAAAAAATTCAACATTTGTTGTCCACAGGATGTCTTTAATCAAAACATCATTGTGAAGATACGAACTTATATTTAATATTTAAAAAACGAGATTCACTTCCGAGATTCTGGAGGCCTAACTCTTCTGCTCTTTTGAGCTAACGTCTCAAATAGTAAAAAAATAATTTTTAAATTCAGACGTATTCCGCAATTAATGTCACAATTCCTGCTTTTCTAAATTTTCTAATACTATTTAATTATTCTGATTTTTCTAATACTTTTCGGCCTTGGAATTTTAACTTTTAATTTTACTGTTTCTTAACTTTCAAAAGCTGCGAGCAATGGCGAAATTCATCAGAATTTTTATTGGTTCATAGTGTACTTTCTATAAAAAATACCCACAGAGAAATCCTCACCATTGTTGTTTGTTTCCTGATCGGCAGCAATACCGACAGCCGGGAAAATAATTTGTTGGAAGAGACTGAGTCGACCAGATGGAAAATATGGTACTTGCGAAAGTCGTAAAATTTTACCTCGTTTTACCGCGCATCTTATAATTCCTTCAAATTAACGAAAATTGTATAAAAAGTTTGCAGAACTTCAAAACAAGTTTTCTGAGGCAATTTCTCGGTGCATTAATACAGTGTCATCCGATCAGTACATTATTAGCAGTGTTATGCTCAGAATCTCAACGGTGTTTGCGGGCCGTAAATTTGATGCCTTTTCGGCAGTTCTCAGACCTCACTTGTTTTTTCTTTCATAAAAGCGATGAGGCTACCCAACTTTTATGTGTTTTTTGCAGCAACAGTTGCATAAAAAAGCATATTGTCAAGTCTCCGTCTGTATGTACGTATTCCGAGTGCATTTTATCCCGAAGTTTCAACACGGGAACCACTGAAATTTTAACACTGAAATTTTAAAGTTTTTTTGAGACCCCCTACTCGTGTGTGATCGCACAAACTTAGATTCAGCGTCCGCGTGGCCCAGACCTCATGTACGATCACGTGAAAGTCTTGACGCCTAAATTAATGACTTGGAAAACACAGAATGTAGGAAGCTGAAATTTTAAGAAAATGTCCATTGTCCGTGTATGACGCAGCAAACTCAAACTCAGCTTCTCCACTTACTTAGATTTCACGTAATGACACAATTCTTGGTGCCTAAATTAAGAACTCCGGAACTAGGAAAGCGAGGAGGCTGAAATTTCAGATTAATGCTCCTCCCTGCCTGCATATTCAGTTGCTGCGCACACCTAAATCTTCAATGCGGGTATGCAAAAATTTTGGCGCTAAAATTAAAACGTAACAGTGGAAACTTTTGACATGTAGTGGACATTTTTATCAGCAGGGTCCCTTAGAACAGATCTGCGAAAGCATCAGCTTGGCAGAGCTAAAGAAGCGTTCGCAATAGAATTGCATAAAAGTTCGCTGAACATGGTTGTATAAAACGTATGATCGCACCAGTTCCACCGGTGCACGCTCCTATTTATTCTGATTTTCAAAACACAGACGAACACCATCGCCAACATGGGAAGCGTTGAAAGATACTCACAAGAAAGAAAACGACCACTCATACGACCTTCGAACAGAAAACGAACAGGTAGCGGGTACTAACTGCCCAAAATGCAGTCCAGGACCCAAAACCCAGGCATGACTACGAAATGACCCGTAACGATATTTCAATAACATCACTAGTGTGACATCGATTGCTTAAGCAATCTAATATTTTTAACACTAAAGTATTTCCTTCTGAGCAGGTGTACACGTTAGTTATTTTTAATTCATATTTTAGCCGAAATGCGCTGCCACCGTCTGACTATTTATACTTGAACTGATTTCTTCGGCTTATTTTATCACATTCACACAAGAAAGCAAAATCCGATAGGTAAGACATGTTGCCGGTTTGGCTGACAACCGGTAGACGTCATGTGCTAGTGAGTGGCACTTGCGTGAAAATAAACGACCGCTCGGAACGTGTCCGAAAAAATGGAGCACATCCGTCAAACACATGGTAAGTACAATTGGAGGTACGCAACTCAGAGTCAATCGAGCCCGGCACAACTGCATCCGTCATTTAGGGCAACATCTTCGGTAATATCACTAACATGAATTTCCACCGGGCGATCATGGTACTTAATATATTGTCATATTTAATGTGCTATGATTGAAAAAATATTTACATAAAAAATAAAAATGTTGCTTGCCGTCTTCATGTTGCCATAGTTTGGCCAGCACTCGTATCAGCGAAGATTTACCGCAACCACTTGGACCTGTTATCCAGACTTTTGTGCCTTTGTGTATTGAAATTGTGAGGCCTGCAAAAGCAGCC